ACCCCCTACAGCCCATGTGGCCCCCCGGGACAGGTGGACCCACTCGGTGGACCCCCGGGACCCTTCCGGTGGTCCCGGTACAATACCGATAACCCCGAAACTTGTCCCGATGCCCGAAACAGGACTTCCCATATATAAATCTTTACCTCCGGACCATTCCGGAACTCCTCGTGACGTCCGGGATCTCATCCGGGACTCCGAACAACATTCGGGTTACTGCATATACATATCCCTACAACCCTAGCGTAACTGAACCTTAAGTGTGTAGACCCTACGGGTTCGAGAGACAAGCAGACATGACCGAGACGACTCTCCGGTCAATAACCAACAGCGGGATCTGGATACCCATGTTGGCTCCCACATGCTCCACGATGATCTCATCGGATGAACCACGATGTCGAGGATTCAATCAACCCCGTACGCTATTCCCTTTGTCTATCGATATGTTACTTGCCCGAGATTCGATCGTCGGTATCCCAATACCTCGTTCAATCTCGTTACCGGCAAGTCACTTTACTCGTACCATAATGCATGATCCCGTGACCAGACACTTGGTCACTCTGAGCTCATTATGATGATGCATTACCGAGTGGGCCCAGTGATACCTCTCCGTCATACGGAGTGACAAATCCCAGTCTTGATCCATGTCACCCAACAGACACTTTCGGAGATACCCGTAGTCTACCTTTATAGTCACCCAATTACGTTGTGACGTTTGGCATACCCAAAGCACTCCTACGGTATCCGGGAGTTACACGATCTCATGGTCTAAGGAAAAGATACTTTGACATTGCAAAACTCTAGCAAACGAACTATACGATCTTGTGCTATGTTTAGGATTGGGTCTCGTCCATCACATCATTCTCCCAATGATGTGATCTCGTTATCAATGACATCCAGTGTCCATAGTCAGGAAACCATGACTATCTGTTGATCAACGAGCTAGTCAACTAGAGGCTCACTAGGGACATGTTGGTGTCTGTTATTCACACATGCATTACGATTTCCGGATAACACAATTATAGCATGAATAAAGACAATTATCATGAACAAGGAAATATAATAATAATGCTTTTATTATTGCCTCTAGGGCATATTTCCAACACACCCCTGCAGGGAAGTTTATCTATTTGAATAGTCATGTCCCTCGGTAAAAGGACGACCAGGAGTTGTACCTTGACCTTATGACAACTAGAACTGGATACTTAATAAAATACACCCTTCCAAGTGCCAGATACAACCCGGTGATCGCTCTCTCACAGGGCGACGAGGGGAGGATCGCCGGGTAGGGTTATGCTATGTGATGATACTTGGTTAACTTACCATCTACTCTCTTCTTCTGCTTCACGATGGAGGCTGCGAGAAGTGTAGTCTTCGATAGGTCTAGCTATCCCCCTCTTATTATGGCATTCTGCAGTTCAGTCCACATATACTACCCCTTTCATTGATACCAATGCATATGTAGTATAGCTCCTTGCTTGCGAGTACTTTGGATGAGTACTCACAATTGCTTTGCTCCCCTTTTTCCCCTTTCTACACCCGGTTGTTGCGACCAGACGTTGGAGTCTAGGAGCCATATGCCACCGTCGACGATGACTCCTACTACTCTGGAGGTGCCTACTACTACGTGCAGGCCGCTGATGATGACCAGGAGTAGTTTAGGAGGATCCCAGGCAGGAGGCATGTGCCTCTTTCGATATGTATCCCAGTTTGTGCTAGCCATCTTATGGCAACTTGTCTAACTTATGTCTGTACTCAGATATTGTTGCTTCCGCTGACTCGTCTATAATCGAGCTCTTGTATTTGAGCCCTCGAGGCCCCTGGCTTGTAATATGATGCTTGTATGACTTACTTTTTTTGTAGAGTTGTGTTGTGATATCTTCCCGTGAGTCCCTGATCTTGATGGTACACGTTTGCGTGTATGATTAGTGTGCGGTCAAATCGGGGGCGTCACAAGTTGGTATCAGAGCCGACTACCTGTAGGAATCCCCCTTCCACACTCCTTGGCCAAAGTCGAGTCTAGACATTGCAAAACATTTTACTAACATGGTTGTGTGTCTTACGGGCCCACGTCGCCATTAGGGTGGTATTAGGATCTTTTACTCCTCGATCTTTACTCTAGGACTCTGAACTCTCTTCTACTCGGGTTAAACGAATTTACTAACTCTAACATTAGGATCACGTGACCACGTTCACCCCAAAGTTGGATAAGCCCTAGTTATTCCTTAGAGTAGTATATTGAACAATATCCACACTGTCATTTGATTCTTCTGAAACATCTTTGTTTTCAGATGGAACCCACGAGGCAGGTCGTGCGCCATAAGACGGGCATTGGTGTCTCAGGATCACCTGTTGTGTTAGCTGAGATGATGACCTATCTGGGTTATCGCTGGCACCCTGAGTACACCGTGTACGAGCAGTACCAGGACTTTCACCAGGAGCAATACCGTGCCATCGTCCACCTCTACTCTCGGGAGTATGACTCCACTACTGTGCTGCATACTGCTCATGGTGTTGGAGTGACTATCGATATGGCGGTACACGATGCTGCTTATGCTGCTCTGACACGTCTTCATGGAGAGTATCGAGAGTTGAACACCTCCCCTTTCAGGCACATTGCTATCACATCTGATATTGGTGCGGAGGGATACTACACTGCTGCCTACTCCACCGTCACCCGAGAGCCCTTCTACCATCAGAACCTGGTTCTGCATGCTGATGGGCTGGAGTTGTTTTATTCTCATGCTGCTTCATTTTACTCACTTGTGCTCGTGTATCTCTCATGGTCTTTTTTATTATTGTTTCACGGTCTATAGTCATTTGAAGTTGTAACTGATGTCATAATAGAGTTAAACTAAACTTGTCGCTAGTTGGAGCGTTCATCGGCCCAAAATGAATTGTCGCGATCCAGCGCACTACCATAAAGTTTCTTCATTTTACTCACTTATCCGTGTGGAGCTGTCACGGTCTTGTTGTATTTGAAGTTGTAACGGATGCCATCATATGGTCAAACTATATTTGTCGCTAGTTCGATCATTCATCGGCCAAAAATGAATTGTCATGATCCACTGGCATACCTGTAGTACCCTTGTTTTAAATGTGTACTTAGCTGTCCTCATGCAATTCTCACGTCTTGCATTATTATTTCATGGCCCTAGTTATTTCGAATTGTAACTGACGTCATTACTGAGTCGAACTGTACTTGTCGCTAGTTCGACCCTTCAACGGACGAGAATGAATTGTCTCCGTCCGCTGTAGTACCAGACACACTCATAACCCTATTTATCAAAAGACACTAATGATTTGGCTAAATAATTTGTTTATATCTTAAGCATTTTTTTGAATTCATCATGTTGATGTGGGGCCTGGTACTGTGTTGCCTCGTAACCTCATTACGGCCCACCGACCGACCCTCCCCCCCCCCTCCTAATTTCCGGCTAGACCAACTATTATGCATATAGTCATGGTGAGGGAGTGGTCACCAGAATTTGAATTATTTCTCAAAATTGAATCCAATTTTTGGTTAGGTCGCCGTTTTCCATATCCATAACCATGGTAAGAAGGAATTATTGGCCCCTCACTAAAGGAAAATGACACCCTCAAAAATATATATTGACCATAAATTAGCAAAGTATAAGTCCATGACCATGAGCAAAGTTGCAAGTAAACTTTCTAATCGTCTTAGCATATTTCTAGCTGCCACATCATATGAAGCCCGTTAGCGCTTAACACTTCTCGGACGTCCATCTAAGGACAGAACATTCTGAAGAGTGGCAAAATGGGTGATGGGCAACACATACCCACAAAAAAAAAGCTAAATTCTATCCATCAGCACCTATTTCAACGTGTCATAATCCCACGTGCTGCAAATGCCCATATTTCGAAGTTCGCAATTGAAATGAGGATAGGCACCCTTTCTTTGCCTTGGCACCCAAGTAGCCAATCAACAGATAGAGGAAACGAGGCAAGAAAATCTCCAACAAAAACTATGCGTGACATTAGCCTCTTTCCAAAAATTCTCCTTTCTTTTCAGAAACTAAGATGCTACCAATTTACCCCCCAGATAAACATGGTGGGCATGCGACGGCATGCTGGTCGCCAGGAATGATTTGAGCACAATTAAACCCCCCGGGCTCACGTGAGCACCTACCGCAACTCCGCTGACACGTGGGGCCGCGTCCACGCCAGTCGAGTGGCCGCGTGACAGAGTAGGCTACCCTTTACTCCCCTGACCGGCGGGGCCCGGCGCAAACGTTGAGCCGCTACTAGCCGTGGAACCTATGACCGATTCGCTGGACCGCCAGTTACACGCGGGTCCGGCAGAATTACTGCCTCCGTAAAATGTCCTGCCGCCAGTGAGAATCCTACTGCTGTAAGCCAGGCAACGCATTTACTCGCCTTCTAAAAATTACCGACGAAAAAATCCCCGTGAAAAATCGATTCAGATTCGCGTTTCCTTCCTTCTTTCTAATGGAAAAAAGCGGCAGAAGGGAGGGGGCTGGGGCAGGAAAGGTGACACGAAAGGCAGGAGGGGTAATAGAAAAGGAAGAAAACAGGGGGTGAATAAAAAAAAGCTCCGGTTTTCCGGAAATGGGCTTCCGCAATCCTATAAAGGCAGGGCCGCCGATGTGTTCCGAGCCAGAGCATCAAACCAACAGGACGCCGCACGTCCCCCGCACGCACCCAGCCGAGCCCAGCGAGAGCAGAAACTCCATTCCCCATTCCTTCTTCATCACCCTCCCCCTCCCCTCTCTCCGCCCCCAAAAAATCTCAACAGCACCTCCCTAATCGCCTCCTCTCCTCCTTCCGTCCAGGCCAAAAGCCCTTTGCTTTTCGCCTTCCCCTCCCCACCTCCTCCGCGCCGGAGTTCGCCGGCGGTGGTGCCTTTGCCCCCGCCTGCCTTGGGTTTTACGGGGATTCTTCAGGGGTTTTAGGTAGGCCGCGTCTGGGGCGCAGGCAAATGCGAGTGGAGTTTTAGGGTGAGTGTTTTCCTTTCCTCGATGTGGCCCATGGAGGAGGAGTTTTTCATGGCGGTGAAGAGGACGGAGCACGTCGAGGTGACGTCCCGTTCGGTGGCGCCGTCGGCCAGGGGGGAGGAGGGGTTTGGTGGCGGCGAGCAGCCCAAGATGGTGAGGGTCTTCTGCGACGACTTCGACGCCACCGATTCCTCCAGCGATGAGGAGGAGGGCGAGCGGCGCCGCGTCAAGCGCTACGTCCAGGAGATCCGGCTGCAGCCCGCCGTCCAGGTGAAGGTGGAGGAGTCGGCGCCGGTGGCCAAGGCCGCGTCGGCGACGGCGACGACGAGGCCCAGGGTGATGGTTCCCGTCAGGAAGAGGAAGGCCGAGGCCGGCGGCGAGCGGCGGTTCCGCGGCGTCCGGCGCCGCCCCTGGGGTAAGTACGCCGCGGAGATCCGCGACCCGTGGCGACGCGTCCGCGTGTGGCTGGGCACCTTCGACACGGCCGAGGAGGCCGCCAAGGTCTACGACTCGGCCGCCATCAAGCTGCGCGGCCCCGACGCCACCGTCAACTTCCAGCAGTCCGAGGACGGGGAGGACATGGAGGTCCCCGCCGAGGTCGCCGAACGCCTTCCGCAGCCACCGGCGGGCTCCAAGAACGCGTCCTCCTCGGCCACCTCCTACGACTCGTGCGAGGAGTCCCACGTCGCGGCCGCGTCCCCGACATCCGTCCTCCGCTCCTTCCCTCAGTCCACCCTGGGCGCCGCCGTCGACGACGACTCCTCCAAGAAGCCGTCGTCGTCTTCCAGCACCGCCGAGACCGACGAGTCGAGCGGCGTCTTCGGCTGCTCGTTCTCCGGCGACGACTTCGCCGGCGAGCTGGCCCCGCTCTACACTGACTTCGACCTCCTCTCCGACTTCGCGGAGCCGCCGATGGACTTCCTGTCCAACCTCCCGGAGCCGGCCTTCGCATTCTCCAGCGACTGCTCGTCGTCGGCCTACAACCCGTGCCCGCCGTCCCCGGCGACGTTGCAGCAGGCAGATGAGTTCTTCGACGACATCACCGACTTGTTTCAAATCGACCCCCTCCCCGTCGTCTAGCTGAACAAGTGTAAAACACCGAATTAGGCGCCTAATTCGGTCAAATTTTGTTTGCATTCGTTATTTTTTTCTTTTTCTTTTTTGATTTCTAGAGAGAGAAGAGAGAGTATGATGTTATGATTCGCCTGTGTAGCTGCCTGCCGCCAAACAATCCCCGGAAGAGGGAAGCCTCGAAGGGGTTTAGATGAGAGTGAAAGAATGGGATGGCTGTTATTAGTCTCTTTGTTCATCGCTGGTTTTGTCACCAGCGCCGAAGCCAAGTTATCAGTAATTAGCAATAGTACCATCGTGTTATGAGTTGAACATTTCCGTATATATTTCTATGTGAATGAATGGATGAATGAAGGCGAAGTGGGGAAGATGAGAAAAGACAGAAGAGTGTATGTATCAGTACTAGTACGTACGTACGTATGTTGGACCGTAACGTAGGAGCAGCTTGCAATGAAACGACGCGCCCGTCCGGCCGGCGGCCGGCGATGTTTGGAGCAAGCGTCGGTTCCCGATACGGGCCGCGATTTGCTCGCCTCCGTTACGAGGCGTCGGTCGTCGCGCAATTAAATGTGGGGCAGGGGGCGCAGCTAGGCACAGCCGCAGCAGTATACCGTCCCCAACATTAACTGTATTATTTGGGAAATTTGCTGGCGCCGCGAATCGTATATACTGCGAGATTTACTTGCCTCTTTTAACTCTGGAAAATTAAGTTGGATTTGCTGGTACATAGTACGAGATTAGTTTTTTTTTTTTGAGGAACTGTACGAGATTAGTGGGGGAACTTTCCGAGTCTTGGGCTGTAAACCAGAGAAGGGAGATGGATGGCGGCTGGCCCGTTGGGCTGGGCGCGGCGGTCAAGAGTCGGGCGGGCGATGGCATGAGCGCCTGACAAAAGGGAGCGGGGGATTAGGAAAACGGAAAAACAAAGAGAAAGCTGGCTTGGGGTTGTTAAACTTGCGCTCTTTTCTCGTGGGAAGCGCAGCGCAGGCGAGGCGCAGGGCGTACTGCGCCGCTGCGTGCGCTGCGGCAGAGCGACCGGTGGGCGCGAGCGTGAGCCTGATGAGCGTGGGTGTCGCAAATCCCTCTTTTCCCGTGGGCCTTTTTGACTATGTGCCTTTCTATTCAGGGCCCTCCACCTGCACCTCCTCCACGACAACGGAAACAGTAAAGGGCGAGCGATCTTGCAAATCGAAACGGAAGCTTGCTGCTCACTTAATGCTTACTGTTATTCTTATTAATGAAATCAAAGCACACGGCTGGGAAAACGACTGAAGCGGGCATGTCGAATGTACGTGCCCACCCCTTTGGTGCACAAGAGAGGAGGGCAGGAAGGATACATGAAAAGATGGCATGCTTCCTCCTTTGTGTCTATCTTTTGGAGGTGAGGCGAGGTCTTTAGTTGGGCTAGCAGAGAGCATGGACAAGCCGCAGGGATGGGGTGGTCCTTTTGGGCAGCAAGGAAGGCGACGGGGAATTCTCTCCCTTTTCTTGGCTTTCCAACGCTGCCCCTCCTCTCCCCTCCTTTGATTTGATTTGGTTTGAACCAAGCCAGGCCAGGCCAGGCCACCGAGCTAGATACTCCACCACACAGGACCGGTCGATCTCTGGCTCGATCGCAGCGGCGCAAGGACATGCAGTATCTGTCCTTTTTTCTCTCACACCAGCTTTATTAGCCTACGATCTGCCCGGTTGGAACCGATCTCCGGTCTCTCGAGCTCGCTCGGCCGATCGGGACGTCGTTGGCCGGGTCGACACGTGCGTCAAAAGATGGGCGTTTTTAGCGGCTTGGACGTGCCGATGCGTGCGCTCGTATTCGTGTCTATCTGCCGCCACCTCGGCCCCGTTGATCGCTACGTCGCCGTTCTCCCTCCGGACGCTAACCACGGATGCGTTCGCGTCACCGCCGACTGCCGCGCGGGCTCCACCGGCACGTTCCGGGCGGAGAAGATTTTTTGTCAAAGTCGGGACTGTTGGTACCCTCGGTCACAGTTCAAACCCCATGCCAGTGCTCAGTGTACTAGGGGTACACCAGTACCGCTCCCGAGTTACTACTAGCCAGCAGTACCACAGGCGCAGGCAGTGTACCCGGCGTTTAGATTTTGTTGGGCCGTCAAAAAGACCAAACGAAATTGCTTCACGGACGACAGTTAGCGCACGACCTCCGAACGATACTAACTCCCCAACTGTGCTCCTGCATGCACGCTTGCTTTTCACGCTGCCACGTAAGGATCGTTCAGTCATCGGCCGCACGTTCGTCGTGTGTATAGCAGCGCTGAAGACCAAAAGCCCCTTCCCCTCGATCCGCTGCTTGATTAACCTGTGTCTGTCCTTTCGTTCTCTGTTTTGGCTGCCCCCTGCCTCTGCTTTGCTTGCTTGCTTCCCAGTGCCCGAGAGAGATCAGCAGCAGCAAGCACAAGCAACAGTCGCCTCAGCTTGTCCCTTCGGAGAGTTACGGAGGAGCGGTTGCGTGCCAAGCAAGTGAAGGCGTTGCCACGGGCTGGCCTGGAGCAAGAATGTCCGCGCCGAGCGTACGGTACGGGGCCTGGGCCTTGGCCTTGGGAACTCGACCACTCTGGGAAAAACCAACGCGACACGACACGACACGGCAGGAAAACAAAAGAAACCAGCGAGGGGAGGGAGGCGTCGTTCCTCCGCCGCGCGGCGTGCTGTTTGACACGCGGTCGGGAAACGAGCGAACCCACGTCGCCGTCGCCGTCGCCGTCGCCTCCGCCTCGGCTTAACTAGCGGCTAGTGCGCGCGGGTGGGTGACCGGTGAGCACTGTTGCTCCGACGGGCGCAGCGTACGGCTCGTGCTCGGAGGGGCGGCTTTGAGTGCATCGCAAGCAATGTACAGCCTCTGCCGTCCCATGGGGCCTTGGCCCTCGCCCGGCCTCGTGCTCCGGTTGATTTGCGTCTCGTGTTCTGCTGTTCTTCCCGGGGTCAAAAGGATTTCGGCTGGGGTCCCTCCCCATGTGTGGCGAACTGCCAATGCCGCAGCGGCCTGCCTGCTGCCCGCTGCCCGGGCCCGGCCCCTGCCTGTCCCGCGGATCTGCAACATCTTACCCCCATGCCGTCCAGCATTTGCATTTTCCTTCCTTCCCACCGCTGGTAGTAATTTGTACCTAGTTTTGGGACCGTTCAGGTCTGGGAACTGCTCATGCTGTATTTTGCAAAGTGTTCGAAACGAAACATCCTGGGGATTTTGCCGAGACAGGCGTGGTGCGCGCGTGTGGTCAAAAGCCGCTTTTTTTTTGCCCGTGGGTGATGATCAATACTTTGTTGTGCACGGGTGATGCAAAGGCGAAATGGTTAGTTTAGTTAACTCGTGAAGGTATCTGCATTCGGTGTTATTATAGTTTGGAACCTGAGGAAAGGCTGTTGAAGCTTGGCGATTTTGCTAGCTAGCAGTGGGATCCCATGTTGAGTAGTTCAGCCGTCGCGCATGGGCACGGCTAAGACAAATCGCACATCTCAAACATCCATGGACGCGTCCACAATTGTAGAAGAGCTGGTTATTCGACCCAGTGCATCAAATGTTCGTCCCTAATCCGCTCCCCTTCATACATCTGACTCGATTAACTTGTCAAACCTCTTGGTCTTATTTTCCTCCTTTGCCTCATTAGGCTTGACACATCCCTCCTCGGCCATGATGTTCTTAAACCTTTCTATCATTTTGGCCACCGCCCTTTCTCCTTTCTCCTTCTCCTTACCAACTTCATCCTCCTGTTTCTACTCGAAATAACTATCCCTAAGATCCCTGACCAATAGCACCGACATATAAATAACATGTCACGATGATTACAATGGAGTGACCTACCATAGCATATTGTATAGGCTCATCGTTACCTCCTTTTTTTGTGATGTTTCATGAAAATGCCACATACATCTTGTACTAAGGAATCTTGTACTTTCTATTGCAGCACCCCATCTGCAAGTTGACACGGCTAATTTAAGATATCTCTACAGATGTACATTGCATATCCCATGCGCATATTCAAACCATCAATTAACGATTGTGTGTGTAGCATAAAATAAACATGGCTCTGTGTACTTGACTAGTAGGCACTCTAAGGGAGCCTAATGTAGTGCACTGGAATTCCTACATGCCACCTATGATTTTGTGTAATATACCACATCTGTTTCTAAATATATGTCTTTGTAGAGATTCCACTATCACTATAAAAAAATACACTTCTGTGATGATACGTGTTTGTCACAGTAGGTCATGTTTTCTGTCATGCATGTACATTCATGATGATTTTATGACAGCATTAAGATAGTCATACTTGTTCTGTCGTAGAAGTGTTCCATGACATTACCAAAATTATCAGTACGAAAGTGTTCACTTCCATGACGATAAATTGCGCGTCACAGAAGTGCTGTCGTCAAGGGTGACCGACACGTGACATCTACCGTAACGGGTCGCCGTTAAGGTATCGGGTTCCGGTTTGGATCCGATAACCCGTTAACAGCCCCGACCAATAGGGATTTTTCACGTGTAAAATTCTCAATGGCCAGAGTAATCACGTGTCGACTCACCGTTAGGACAGATGTCATCCACTCACTCGATCGAAGGCGCCTATGATTCATCGACATGTGGCACGACCCAACAGAAGCCCATTCCAGTAAAAGGCCGACCCGTTTGACTTTGTCAAAAGGTAGCGGGTCGACCCACGAAAAGCCTGTTAAGGGCCTGTTCGCATATAGCCCATTTACAGCCCGCTAACTCACGACCTATCGAAATTTGGCCCAGTAACGTCATCTGGGCCGTCCAATATGATACCAGCCCGTTGTAACTTTCAACCCATGTATGACCCATGATGTCTTTCGATCCATAGGAGGCCCTTTGTAACTCTGGGACCATTAAAGGCCCGAGATGAAACTGGCCCATAATGAACAGTATATCGCTTTATACCCATTAACGGGCCATTATTCCGTCGGTCATTTCCAGCCCGTGTTACCTTTCGGCCTTCTAAGGGCCCATTTATTCTTGGACTCATTTCAAGAAT